ATTTGGAAAAATTTAAAAATCTTTTATAAATGATCAAACTTTATTTTCAGCCTCATATTCCAATGAATTTATGAATACCATCCTCTTATCCACCACATATTTTATTTATAAACTAAATCATTTATGAATATTCTCAAACGAAGGCTACAATAAATGAGATATAGATTTCAGATGGATGTAGTTGCCAAAATTCCACTTTGTTGGAACCCTTTCAAGGCTGCACAAAGGCCGTGAACACTGCAATGAAAGAAAAATAAATAAAAAATAAAACTTAAAGGTCAGAGAGTTCACCCAATCAGGACACATCGATTTGTAATACTTTGCAACCTTTACGCATTCTGGTGCCTCTTTTCCCTTTTCTATGATGCACCTGCTCCAGAAAGAGAGTATTCGCCAAGTTCAGAATCATTTACAAATGATGCTGCTGATCTCATTTTAGCATGAATACCAAATTTTACACTTGCAATAATACTAATCAGTCAAATTCATATTATACACACAATGATGAATTTTGACCATAGGCCAGAAAACGAACGAGCAATTACGTTCATAGGCTCATCGAAGGAAACAAAACGCATGAACAAAAAATGATATTGAAAGAATTTGGTCAGAGAAATTGCAGACTCGGTAATAGACTGCAACAATCTTTGTAATTTACTCTGAAAGAGTGACTAACTAATATTTAATTTTGATAGAAGATAATACTTACTTTTAAAACCTACCTACTTACAAAGTAAACGATTTTTGGTACTAAAGCTAGAACTAAAAAGCGGATCAGAATTGTACGAGACTCAGAACCGAACCGAACCGATTTCAACTGGAATCAGAGCGAATCGACTGTTTACGCCCAGTTCTTGTTCAGGTTGGGTGGTTTCATTAAAAATACCTACCCCTACTTTTGAGATACTAGTTCATTATAAAAGTTATTTTCTATTCTTTTGAAATCAATAAATATTTATATTGGAAAGCAATTGGCCTAAAAACATTTCAGCCATCAGGTGAAAATTGGCAGGAATAAATTTTGCTTGATAAAAGGCTATAAAGGCAATATTTTAAGATGACGTGGAGTCTCAGAATAAGAAAGACTTTCTTAAGTCTTAATTATTCGACTTTTGGAAGATTGCAGAAGACTGCGCCCTTAAATATTTTGCTGCAACAGAACAATGTATAATTGAAAAGGTTCAAGTACTACAACTTCAAGTGTGGCAAGAGAATAGCAAGTTTCTATAAGAACGAGTAAACGTTGTGTAGGTGTTGACTACTTCGATTCAAAGACAAGGTAACATGATGAAATAGTTGCATATAATCAAGCAAGGGTGCAAAACTCAAAAGGATTGAATTGGTCGCTTTTCAACTCATCCGAATTTTACCATAACAGTGGTAATAAGGTAGGTGAGCTGGGATTTACTTTAATCAATTGTAATATAATTTGATATTTATGCAATTCATTTATCCTAACCATTCGAGCAAAAGGGTACTTCTACACTGAAGATCCATTACACCGATAGTCTGTGCTGTCTTCACATTTCTGATAGATCAAGTGATTTTACAACCATTAAAATGGTGACTAGAGGTGTAAAGGTGGGAAGGCTAACGATTTTCTCGGGTAGCCAGTCTACCTATCGGACCTGACCAAGTCGGACCAGCTTACACAAGCCTTTATATATAATTTATCTTCTTTTGAAAATTAACTAAAAATAATAACTTGGTAGCTTATCTAAACTGACAGGGGTCAGGCCACACTTTTTTCTAATCCTAACCCAAATTGATAAAATCTAATATGAAGAATTTTATGCTGGCTTAACGATAGCATTTTAGGAACTAGAAAGCATTTATAATATTCAAATTATGTCTCCATTAATTTAAAAATACAAAACCGAGAATAAAGAATAATCTACACAAACCTGTGGTACTCGTAATAACAGTCATAACAACGACGCATCTGATTGTTTGAAGTTTCTGCCTCCACCTGCATTGCAGCCAAAGATATTCGTTCAAACATCATTTCGAAACAAATACATGAATACGTTACAAAAGTATTTAATTTCAAAATCATATAATATCACCTGTGCTAATCTAATATGTCAATATCTGTTCTATCTAACACGAGTTATCAGTGAATTATTAGCTTATGAGCATGTTTTGAAATTTAATAACTTTTCTCCCTATGAAGATTGAAGTAAATAGATTACACATTTTGATATTAAGCTAACACCTATTTCAATTTCAATTACTTTAAAGTCCTAAAAGAAATTAAGTTATCCAATCACCATCACATAATTTATTTTAAGCTTTGTCAAACATGTTCTAAATTAATTGTATGGGAGAAAGTGATTGATTTCTCAGTTTTCATAATAATAAAGGAATCACTTTTCAACTGAAACTCTTTCCTCCTAATTTAACCCGCTCATTCCAAAAGCCCGAAATTCCATAATAATTCTAGAAATTAACGTAGTCTAAACTGCACATATATAGTGTCGTTAAGGCCTAAGGGGGCCTGGAAATACTAATTTCAAATGATGAATCCAAGAAATGAATATGCATTCGTGTATTTATATATAACAAACGAGTCAATGGCAGACCTTGGGGATTTTGGGGTGGTCGGTGGAGGACGGCGGCGGAGCCCTGTACATCAAACGCGTAAATGAAGAAAATAACTATAGGAGATTTGGAAGGGAAAACATCGAAATTTTGACCTCGAAAATGATGTCCACCCAGCGGCCACGACGTGCGCGTCGAAAAGAGCTTTTCGAATTGGGGTCATGGACAGGATTCTGATAACCGTAGCCAAAATTATGATCGAATTACCCAAAAGTCCTAAAAATAATAAAATAAAATAAAATAAAATAAAATTTTCCAAGCACTCCGCGCTACGTAGAGTGCTTGAATTCACGCACTCAAGCACTCCACGCTGTGCGGAGTGCTTGAATTCAAATTTTTAATTTTTTTACTTATATTTTTGTGTTCATTTTCAGACTCATTACGGAATATCAAATAAAATCGAAATATTATATTTTTAATATCGTTTTGAAGTATTCGCGACATAGTATTGCACGTCGTTCACGGTGCGTGAAACGGTCAATCATAACAAATGTTATCGGACGTCAAATTAGGTATGTTCAAACTATATTTCAAAATTTTCGATAATGAGCTAACTTTAAAAATTTATCGACGACTGTGCGATAATCGTATCGATAAATATTTTACATTTTCTCGAAACTCATTTTGAGAACTATATCGTAGAGACATCGAATGATTTAAATAGATATCAAAAATAGTTAAACGGATATTAAACGTATGTGTTAAAAAATACGAATAATTCGTTTTTCTTAAAAAAAATCAATTATTTTATTACTATTTCGAAATTTTCGATAACAAGTTAACTTTAAAAATTCGTCGACGATTATACGATAGCCGAATCGATAAATATTTTACATTCTCTCGAATTTTTTTTTTTACTTATGTTTTTGTGTTTATTTTCAGGCTCATTACGGGATATCAAATGAAGTCGAAATATTATATTCTTAATATCGTTTTGAAGTACTCGCGAAATAGTATTGCACGTCATTAACGGTGCGTGAAACGATCAATCATAGCAAATGTTATCGGACGTCAATGCAGGCATTTTCAAACTATATTTCGAAATTTTCGATAACAAACTAATTTTAAAAATTCATCGACGACTGTGCGATAGTCGAATTGATAAATATTTTACATTTTCTCGAAACTCATTTTGAGAACTATTTCGTAGAGATATCGAATGATCTAAATAGATATCAAAAATAGTTAAATGGACATTAAACGTATGTGTTAAAAAATACGCATAATTCGTTTTTCTTAAAAAAATTAATTATTTTATTACTATTTCGAAATTTTCGATAACAAGTTAACTTTAAAAATTCGTGACGATTGTACGATAGTCGAATCAGTAAATGTTTACATTCTCTCGAAACTCATTTTGAGAATTATATCGTAGAGATATCGAACGATCTAAATAAATATCGAAAATAGTTAAACGGAGATTAAACGTATGTGTTAAAAATGCATTTTTAAAAATTTTTTTTTTAATTCTTTTTTGTTTTACGTCAAATTTGTTTTTTTTTTTTTGGTTTTAACGTAAAATTTTTTAATAATCATTCTTTTATGCAAAAAATTGTATTAGATTATTTTAGAAATTAATTTATCAAGAAGAAAAAGTAACAATAAGAAAAAAATTCCTAAAAATTATCGAATTTTTTTTATATATAAATTTTTTTTAGATGTTAAAATAATTAAGATGAAAAATTTGTTGGCTCAATTTCTCATTGCTATAATTCAAATGTATTTTTTCAAACATTATTATTTTACTCTAAGTGAATATTTAACTTATAAATGACGTATTTGATAATACTATATTCAATATAAGTAAGTCGTTTAATTAATCGAATCATTTTTTTTATTGTTGAATATCTAATTGATATAATTAAATCGTTTAATTAATCGAATCAATTTTTTATTGTTTGCAGTCTCCGTTTATTTCCTTATTTAATATGCTAATATCTCCTTTTATAAAATTCAAGCCATGCATTGCATGGCACAAGACTAGTATTTAAATAAGCACAAAAAAAGTATTCTCAGTCCACGTCATTTAAATAAACGCATATAAAAATATTCTCAGTCCACATCATATATTTTGAACACAATTTTTTTATTTATTTTTATCTTACTTTTATAGTGAAGAAAAAATGTTGTAAGATTTACTAACTTTAAAATTATATGATACTTGATAACATTAACATGAAATTAAATTGTTTTTACTTGAATAATCAAATTTCATGAAATAAAATGTTAAGGAGGATTTAGGAGATTTAACACGAACGAAAAGTAAAATGATATCGGAGATGAATGCACCTGAAATGCAATGCACTTCATGGATCGACTTCACGATTATATGGCTCACCAACTGTGAAGAATATTTCTATGTAGGCTATGTAATTCAAATCGTTGCCATTGTTTTTCATTTATTCCTTATTAATCAAATCGTTCAAAATTTAAAATATCTATTCGCATAGCTACTACTCTATATATATATATATATAGTTAAAAAATAAAGAACAATTTTGAGTTTCTATAAAATATTTTATTGTATGAATGAATGGTTGAAAATCAGTATATATAAAAAAGTTTGAAAAGAATTATTGACAAACAGAGGATTAGTTCAACTTAAAGGAACCATTTAGAGCATCTCTAAAAAACACTTTAATACATGCAACACCCTCTATTTTAAAGAGTTAACTCATGAAATTATGCTTCAAAAGACTTTTTAAATTAACATTTTCATTTAGAATGTGTGTTTGACTATCCAAATTCACTCTTTATAATTAAAAATTCAAAGTATTTCAATTTTCAATGTAGGAAAATATTAAAATAATCTAGAGAAAAGGTAGTTAAAATAAAAGATAGAGAAAATAATAAATATTTTTTGAGAGTAGTAAAATTAAATTTATGTTTGAGCCACATTATTTCCATCAAAATACATTTTTCACCAGTGATTTGACCAATTTCAATAACACATTTTTCATTAAAATAATATTACATATAAATTCAAAAAATTTCTTTATTTTTTAACCAAATATATATATATATATATATATTTTTTATATATATATATATATATTTTTTTGCCAATGATGAAGTTCAAACGAGGGCTAAGTGTTAAATACAAAGAGTTTGTTGGAATATTTCAAAATTTCGACTCTTTAAATTTATAGATCTTTTTTAAAAGAATAGAATATATTCTTTAAAAATAGTGAGATTCTTTAAGATGTTCTTGGCAGTGTTTTTACGTCAAGCCATCAATGCTCGAGCTTTTGGTCAAATGGAGCCCACTGTTTGAATGAATAAATTGCTAAAAAAATGATTTCTTTTACATCCATTAGTAGGACAAAACGAACTTTGTCAATGATGTCACTATTGTTGACTTCTTTTATCTGTGTTTGTTGACAAAGTTAGCCACTTTTTACATTGAGATGAGATTAGATGAAATAAACATCACGATTCACGGGTACCACCTAAGTGGACCAAAAAACGGTATTTTGCAACAAAAGCATTGCAAGACGCACTTGATGCTGATCACGAACAAAAATAGGATAATTTGACAGCGTGTGATTGAGTGATTTTATGTATTATTTTTCTCAATTTCCAATGAAAACATATCAAGTGTTATTTGGGGAAAAAATTTATCATTGACTCTAACTATGTAATATGATTGCATCTCGAAAGGCTAACTACAGAGATTTGGTATTTCCTGCTGAAATGTCAACTTGTGTACGAGTAATAGTTGAAGTGTTTATGCCCTTATTTGATCCCCATTAAATTAAATTACGTTAATTTCATTTTTCTCTCTCCTATTTTCAACCACATAATCTTCCATAAAATAATATTACACGTAAATCGAAAACTTTTCTTTCTTTTTCAATCACTCATTTTTCTAAAAAATATTATTTCTCCATTTTCATTTTCAAGTAATGGGCATCAAATAGGGGCTATATATTAGCTAGTGTTTTACCTAACCAATGCAAATCCTCAAAATAAAATGAAAAAATAAAATTAAAAAATTAGACGGGGTCAAACTTCTTGAGCTGAGAAAAAAATACGATTTTATTTGAGCTTTATGAGTAATATTGAGTCTTAGTTTTTTTTTTTTTTCTTTTTTTAAAAATTAAGACAGAGCTATATTTTAAAATTTTATACCTTTTAAAAGGAGTAATCAGAACTCTTATATAATGGTTAATATTTCATAATTAACACAGGTAAGATTTACCGTTAAAGTAGGCATTCTGATTCTCTCCCTCTCTCAAGACAATTAATGTAATGACTTCCTTGGAAATTTTTTTAAGAATCAAAAGAGAGGATTTAATAAATATTTATAATATTAAATAAGAAAAGTTTAGACTGAACTTCAAGCTTCCTAATAATATGTGAAGAAAATGGTATCACGAAGGTTTAGTAACAAAATGAGCATTTTTTAATTTTTTTTTAAACATTTTCATGGCATGATGGTAAGTTGAACTAAATTAAAGGTCGATAACCAATTAAAATTTTGTTGAACGTTAAGTGACCGCATGTGAAATTTATCCTTCTATAATAATTCGAAAGTATCAATATAAGTCCTTGTTTGAGATACATTTTCTAAAAATTCATTTTTCTTCTCAAATTCATATTTATAACTACATATTATTTGAATAAAATAAGCCCCCGTTTGGCCCCCATTAATTTCTATTACATTTTTCTCTCTCTCATTTTCAACTGTACAATCTTCCATAAAATAATATTATACATAAATCGAAAACTTTTCATTTTATTTCAACCACTCATTTTTAAAAAAATTACTATTCCAACCATTTTCAACTCTACACAATGAGGACCAAACGGGAGCTAATTTTGCAAGTGAAATCATTTTTTTATTTTTATTTTCAATTATGCATTCTTTAAAAATCGCTATTACAAAAATCAATGCAAACAAATAGCCAAAATGGATAAAATGACTACATAAAGTCAAACTTTGCACCGTTAGTCTAAAATCCATCTTTTTAAGGCGGCAGATACTTTTGCTCCCTACTAGTCCTAGTTTTTCAAGCTTGTCTAATGCAGTTTCTATTTTTTATAACTGAAAACCAGGAAGTAAATCCAATTCGTGATGGACGCCATTGAAGAAGTGGAAATACCAACAAGAGGTTTGTTTATTTGTCATTTTCCTTCACTTGATTTGATTTTCAGTAGGAAGTCTTTATTTGGTTGTTTCCTTAATGGTCATCCATCACTTCCCAAAGCAAAAGATTTCATCGTTGCAGCTATATTCCTCGATTTGAAATATTTGTTGCTGTTTCTTGTTTCTTTATCAGTGAAAGAATCAAATTCTGATGATCCAAGCCAAAGACAGCAACTTCCTGCAAAAAAACACTTGGGATGGTGGCTTCGCATATTTCTTTACACTGTCTTTCTCCTTGCTGGTCAATCTACAGCCACCCTCTTGGGAAGATTATATTATGATAAGGGTGGGAATAGCAAATGGATGGCAACATTAGTTCAATCAGCAGGCTTCCCTATCTTAATGCCCCTCTTACTATTCTTTCCACGA